AGGAATTCACTCATAGCGGATGCCGGCTCTGTGTTAACCCTGCAGGGCGATTTCAGCATTCCTCAGTGACCGTCCCAATGACAGAGTACAACTTTTTCTTAACAGGTCAGAAGCCGGGGCTGAGGATGAAAGCTCACCTGCTTTGAGGAGCGAAGCAGGCACGAGTGAAGAAGTCCGTGAGACTCAGCCACGAGCTACAGTCCTGCTTGAACACAAGCATCAGCTCAAAGGTGGGAACAACACGAGGGTCACAGGCAATCCTATCTAGCTTTTTACAGGCCTTTCCAGTTTCTAGACCACATAGATAACCCAGCCTCTCAAGATACAGGGCTCGGTGGAAGAAAGCACATCTTGAGCTATTTTCTCAGTTAGTTTCTCTGGGACCAAAACCTATGAGCAGTAACGTTTGGTCTGCTTTGATCTGAACAGACACTTCTCCAGCATTTTAACTAAAGCGTGACAGGCTCTCTCCTCAAGCATGGCCTCACTGAGGTCAGGTTTGGGCCCAGTCTACTTTCAGTAGCCAATGTCTGCAGGACAATTAATTGCAAAGATCACGTGAGAAAAAAGAAGAAAACTCACACGAACATCAGTCAGCGTCAAGAAGCAGGCTATGCACCCACCAATCATTTTCCCGACATCCTAACTGGCGGTTAATCAGCGAGGCAGCCCGTTAGCAGCACTCCTGTACTGCGCCTCATTATCAAGCATTAGAGCAAGGTGTATTTCATGCACAGCAGCACTAGCAGCCTACGGACACACAAAGTACTTCTGGAGCACACTTTATTGCGCCACACTTCAACTGATTAAAGTAATTATTACTACTGACTTAATGAAGTCATTCACCACTCGACATAAGGCTTTATAGCCATTATTAAGTATTTATCTTCGGTAGATGGTAAGAAATTCACCTGAAAAAAACATGAAGTTAGCCTGCTTAAAGGAGAAGCGATAGCCCTGCACTTGGTCACCAGCTTTCTCATATGATCACAGCCCTCTGGCTGGCTGTTGCGCTCCCCACTCATTGCCTGCTACATGCATGGAAGAGTCGCTTTTTCATCTTAGCAAGCTATCGAAATCTGAAACGCATGGCAAGTGCATTGACACAGCAGAGTCATGTTGTGCAGGAGTTGATTTTTTGGGGTTTTTTTTTGTTTTGCTTTGTTTTTTTTTTTTAAAGAATTCACTCAGATATAGCTGAGTCTCCAGCAACGCAATGGAAATCCAGCCAGCTCCTTCTGACCCCCGCCATATCCGACAGCCCTTGCAGAAATTATCCTGTTTTCTCGAGAAAGCTTTAGCAGCCTTGAAGCACTAGCTACATACAGCACTACAGTATTTTGCTTCAAGTTGCTCCCTCTTCAAAGCCATTTAGCAGCTCATTAAAGCAAGCCTTCCTCCTGCCCGCAGACGTGCCCCCTGCCAGCGCATTGCAAGGCACAGCACTATCACAGGCATCCAAGGATCCCCTTATTGCAGTCTTGTTTTTAAAATGCAAATAAAAGCAGGAGGAAAGAGGGAAGCGGGAGAGGCACCGTGAAGGGCCGCAACACTCACCCGCTACACCTGGCTGTGGAAAGCCTCCCCGTATCTGCTCCAAAACACGTGGGGGGTTTTTACTGCTTAGGCTGCCAGTGCCAACCATGGCAAGTGCAGTGCTCGTGCTCCAGACAGATTTTTGTGCTCTTCTGGATTACTAAAAAGAAAGCATATATCACACACTTCAAAACTAGGGGTTAAGAGGGACTGTACTGGCTTAGAGCAACTCTTGAGGAGAAGAGGAATTTTCTCTTGGTTCAGTCTCACCACCTAAAGCAGGCTTGCACAAACTATTTTCAGCCCACCAAGCAAGGCTGCTTTTTTCTTTTTTTTTTTCTTTAATTTTCTAAAGGGAAAAGACACTTTACAAACAGACCTTAAGAAGCAGACCAGACAGAGTTAGCTCAGCCCAAAGAAGCCACATGATTTCATCTTACCTGCCAAAGAAAATAACTTTGCAGAAGTACAGCTACAAATCAGAGATTTTAAACAGCTGCTTTTAGTTTCAGTGAAGGCAAACCACTTTAAACAATTTAGAAAATAAAGGAAAAACCCCTGAACAAACCCACAAAAAGTGACAACCAGCTGACACCACCCTCCCACCCCAGAGCTGCGGCAGCTGATACACCTCTGCTACCCTCCTTCCCCACCTCTCCCAGCTTCCACCTTTCCCCACCCTGTTCCCATGGCCAAGCTGTGTCCCTGCCTGCCAAACCTTCCCCCTCTCATTGCGTGCTCTGGTGGTGGTGGTGCGGGATTTAGGGCATTAGGGATGTAAGGGGAAAAAAATGCCTCTGTTCTTTCTAGGGAGCAAGAAGAGGAGGGACTCAGCAGGGAGCAGGCAGCAGTCCCTGCAGGCTAGGGGAGCCCCACGAACGCGTGTCCCCCTGTGCAAACAGCTTTCCAAACTGGCATGTGTTGAGCTTTATTAAATGAGCAGCTGCTGTTTCTGGCTGGAACAGCAGCTGCTTTAGCGTGGGGCCCAGGACGGCACTGGAGCATGTGCTGCCAGGTCCTGGCCACGCTCTTCTCCCTGAAGCAGCCCCTGGTTTATCTCAGCCAGGGTTAGACCTAGGATGCAGTTATTTTCCTGTCTTTAGTGTTTCCCAAGGTGAGGCTGCAGGGTGCTGGACAGCCCTGGAAGAAAGTAGCTCCCACCCTCCCACAAGCTGCACGTGGGGGCAAAACGGCACCTTGAGCCATATGATGTTCCCAGTAAGGAGTTTCGATATTAAAACAGCCTACCCTGGTCTTAGGGGTAAACTGCTCCGTGCACAGCTATATATAGTGTGGTGGCCACCATAAGCACGTACCTTGCCATAGCAACAGTTGGTCATTTGAACTCATACTGTCATGGGTGTGTGTTTATTCTGCTTCTTTTGGAAGACCTCAGTTTGTGATATGCTTACTACAGGGCTGCAAATAATTTTGGCTTCTTGCTAATGGCCTTGCATTGCTCAGTCTTCAGGAGGGAGCACGTTACAAGGTGAGACCAAAGTAAATTGCTTCTCTGAAACGCTGTCTTATCCTCTCTTGGCAGTCCTATGTCCTAGCAGGGGTATTTTTCGTGGAAAACTAAACAGGAAATACAAAAATGATACAGAGATTTCTAGCACGTCCTTCCATGCAGTGGGGCAGATACCCTCATGGGAGGTTCAGGGTCAGGATTTGTATGGCACCTTTTTTATAAAGCCTTCAGCTGGCTGGTTAGGTCAGCAGTTCATTAATTAACACTTCTCATTCACCTGGCGTCATTTCAGCTGATGGGTGACTGGAACAGCACCAAGGGAATAACAATTATTAGTCTGTGGCTCATTAACCTGATTGATTATTGTTAATCTGGCAGCCCTCTCCGCACAGGAGTCTGCTTCCCCACACCAGGAAGAATAAACCCCTCATTTTAGGCACTGAAAAGTCTTTACAGAGAGTGTTCTGCTAGTATAATTGCAGCCACTGAGCAGTAAATCCATTTTCAAGAGAAAAAGCTCAGTAGTCCGTGGGGATTCACAACTGTATTATAGAGAAGTGAGCTGAAAAAAAAGATTTTTTTTTTGAAAGTTAAAGGTTCTAGGAAAATAAACATTTGTTCTACTTCCCTCTTGGAAAGAGTAAAGAAAAGACACGTATAGGCAAACAATTGTATTACTATATACATAAAACATAGGCAGATATTTGCTCCATAATATGTTAAATGAAAAATGAATAGTTGAAAATAATTGAAATATGTTGGAAAAAAAAGTTGAAAATTATGAAACTGCATTGGAAAGTGCCAGAATTTCTGCTAAAAAGGTCTTTGCATTCTTACTGTGAACAGACCCAAACCAGGAGGAAGTGGTAAAGTCACTGTTGCGCTACTGGCTTGAAAATGGTTAATATTAGCAGCAGTGTCTTTTGTCCTCCATGAAGGCTATATATGTGGACATACTTCAGTGAGCGTCAGCTAGAGCAGTTCATAATCACAAGCCCAATTTTATTCCTGTTGGATTCAAAATGCGCTTTGCCATTGACTCCCAAGCAGCTAGATGGGGACCACTAGGAGTATTATGCTTCTGTTGCTTATGGTATGATTTTTAAAGGCAGCTGCAATTATTTCGCTGAGAGTCCCTGTTGTGTCCTTGCAGCTGACAAAAGTTTCTGCAGATGACCCTGATCCTGGGGACAGAAGTGATGGGCCCAAATACCCATGGAAGAATGGCAGAAAAGGATTTTTATTCTTTTCAGAAAACTCTTCTGCTTAAGGTGAAGGAAAATCTCCATCAGCTCCATTAATAATTAGATGGTAGCTATGAGTTCATAGGTTTCACTTACGTAACTCTTCCCTGCCGTGAAAGACAATATATTTGTATGTAGTTAAGCATTGCCTCTGAAATCCATATGTTCTGTGTGAGCTATAGATATATTTCTAATTACTTGTTTCTAAACAGTGAAAAACACCACACAGCATGTTAATTGGCAATGCGAGTAAATCCCGCTTTGCTGAATTCATGGTAATTACACCTGCCTACAGCGGCTCCTTTCTGTGCATCACTGATATGAGGATATGCTGCCAGTTGTGATGAAACACGAGCTTTCAGGGGCCTTTCTTATATTACGGTTTCCCCTTTGTAAGAAGAAAAAGCGTTCCAGGTGTTTTTCTGGAGACTGTTGAAGTATTTAAGTGGTTGAAGTCATTGACCACAATTTCTGATAGTATATTCAAAACAGGTTATAGTCTCTCTATATGAGGTGTTGCACTGCTGAATTATAATAAACTTTGAAGGCTTTGGGGGCAATAAAAGTAACCCCGATATGCAAAAGAAAATGAGTTATAATTCAGAACAATTCTTAGTAGAAAGCATACATTTGTTAATTACAATTACAACTGCTGTTTCATTCTGAGATAAGCAGTGGTTACCATAGTGACCCATTCCTTAAAAACAATTTTTGCCCAGTGCTTTATAAAACACTAAGATATTTGCCTTCACAAAAAGCAATTTGTGAAGATGAATCTTCCAAGTGTTAGGCTTTGTGTATAAAAAAACAATAAAGTCCATATGTGAAAACTAATACCCTTTTGATTACTGCCTGAAGATCCTTATATGAATGTTTACCTGCAAGTATACTTACAGAAGTTATCTCAGATTAGGTGCATATACAAAGTCTTGCAAACCTTTCAAGTCCATACAGAACCTGTGATAGAATTTTAACCCCCACTAAGGAGAATTAGGAAGAGTGAAGAGAAGAAATAAGAGAGCATATTTGTTCTATAGAACAAACTGCCCACTATTTCTTGCCATGCTAGGTGAAAAAAAATTGTTTTTTATTTTATTTTGATGAGTCTCAGTGTATATTTATCTACTAGTACAGCTACCAGCATTTCCCTGTGAAGATTTATGGAAAAATATTCTGAAGTCTCAACCCTCTGCTAGAGTTTGAACAAATGCAAGTTTTGATGCAGCAAACAAAATACAATCTTCAAGGAGGTGTGTACAAATTATTGTTAATCAATAATACCTTACCATCAATGGCTTCTTGTCTCCTGGGTCTCTGTCTGCACATGGCTGGTCTGAACAGTTACATCTGGAACTTCTCCCTGGTTCAGTTTGGACAGG